GAATGCTTGTGCTTTATCTTCAAAAATGTAGTGTTAGATAAACCTGCAAGCATGCCACATAACAAGAGAATCATTTGTGCACTGCAAGTGTTTCAGTTCTTGGGTTTTTTGTTCCAGCTTTTCCCTCTAACTTACATTTTTGTGTGCTCTCTTTAAGATTTTTGTCTATGATGGAAAGACTGGAGAGAAAGTGTGCGCTCTTGGTGGAGGCAAAGCTCACGATGGAGGTATTTATGCGGTAAGTATCACTTCATTTGTGCAAATGGTCCGTAGTATTTCATTACCAAGTTAATGGACAGTGAAGTCTTGCGATAATAAATGCATTTACTATCTTGTGGTGACATTTGTTTTTGCAGATTAGCTGGAGCCCTGACAGCAGTCAGTTGCTTTCTGCTTCTGGAGATAAAACTGCTAAAATCTGGGATGTTGGTGCTAATTCTATTGTCAATACTTTTAACATGGGATCAAATGTGTTGGATCAGCAGCTGGGTTGCTTGTGGCAGAAAGACCATTTACTGACTGTTTCCCTGTCTGGCTATATCAATTATTTGGACAAGAACAATCCAAGTAAACCTTTACGTGTCATAAAGGTAGGTTAAACTTCTGTTTTCGCACCAGTTTCTGCAGGAAGTTACTTGGTGATTGAAGTTGTCTAGATGGAATAGTAACTATCAAAAGATGGTTTTGTTAAATTAGCATTGCCAGACAAGCTCTGTGTGACTGACTCTTGCAAGTCACATGAATCAACAAGTTAACAAGTTTGCTTTGTGCAAACATACAGATTTTTTTGTTTCGAATATTAATGCTATCAGCTTGTCTTTCACAGCAACTTTTAAGCATTCTTGAGATAAGAAATACAGCAGTCAGAGAAAACTAGTGCTGTCTTGTTGTGCTAGAACTAGTGTATTGTGAACAAGGTGACTGAGGTTACTGTGCAAATCAAGTTTTAATTTTAGGATTTAAAGAGTTTACTGACACAGCATCCTCACGGGAACTTATATTTTTACATGAACTAGAAAACAGATATCCCAGATTCTTGTTATTGCTGCTGTTATTCTCGCAGTTGGTGTGGGCACACAAGCATATTTAGTCCTCTTCCCTGAATCATAAAGTGCCTGAAAAGCAAACTTTGCTGATGAAAGGGGACGTCAAAGTATTTTGGCCCACCAGATTAATAAGGATAATCACAGTGACTATTCCTTCTCTTCAAGGAGTAGTGCCTGGAAATAGCAACGCTGCAGCAGTTAAATGACTGCACTGTTAATTAGTGATTTTTATTCTGAGTTACTTGTAATGCTTGTGAATAAAATATGTTTATTTTCTGAATAACCTATAATTCTTCTCAAACAGATTTGATTAATGTATGTGTTAAGATGAAAAATTGCCCATCAGTAATTATTTGTGTCCCATTTACAGGGTCATAGTAAATCAATTCAGTGTCTTACAGTGCATAAAAATGGTGGAAAGTCCTATATTTACTCTGGAAGTAATGATGGTCATATTAATATCCTTTGAATAATAGTGATACTTGCTCTAGCCTTATAGCTGAGAAAGCTTATTAGGAGGAAGAAATAAAAAAAGCTTTGCCAAAGACAAAACGTTATGTTTATTGGACACAAGTGAATATTTTATGTCTGAAGAATTTTGTTTCGCTTTCCCCAAACTTTTCTGTTTTACTGGTTGCCTTTAAGCTTGCCTGCTAAACATGTTCCATGTGTTCTTCCATAGCTGTAAAATAGGTATTGCTGTTACACATGATAGATGGGCAGATCTCAGCAAGTGCTAAAAGTCACCTATCTTGATTTTAGATGTTCAAGAAAGATCCGACAAGGATTTATCTATCTCTTGCCTATTAGCACACATTTCTCTTCACAGTTGTGTTTTTCCCACTTGTGTTAATTGGGGCTTTTGTAGTTCTTTGACACATTGATCATGTTCTTTATTTGGTATCCCAAATGTCAATCTTTCTCACTGCTGAGGTGAACTTGCACTTCTTTTGAGACTCTATTTCAGTCCTGTTGGTTTCTGGATCAAAACACTGGGAATGCAGCCTGGTTCCCAAAGGGCATGTGAAAGGGTGAGGTTGGGATGTATCCGGCTAGAAGACTTGGCTTTTCTTCAGTGTTCTGAATCTTATAAATAAGACCACAGTCCTTCATTCTACTTGCCCTGATGCTTTAAAATGGTGTGACATTGGCATAAACTGTTCCAAATATAGGACTTGTTTCTTTATAAAACTGTATTATAGTGTTAATAGTTCAAACTGATGTTAATATAAAGCATCAGGGAAATCCAATGTTGCAGGACCTTTAACTATAATTCCTCTATTCTCAGACCTAATGCTAGTTGTTCCAGTTTTTTGTACTGTTTGTGGTAGGTCATTTAGCTCATTATAGAACATTAGAGGTTCATTTCCTAAATATTTTGAGGGTGTGAGATTGAAGCCTCGAAGAGGTTGCCCAGAGAGCTTGTAGAATCTCCATCAAAACCGAACAGAACGGGCAGTCAGTTGTAGGTGAGCAGCAGGTGGGATGAAACAATCTTAAGAGGTCTCCTCTAACCTTAGATATTTGGTAAATTATTTAACTTTTTATGATGCTCTGTCTCACTGCACCAGTATTTTCAAACATTCCTTAATTCTGCTGTGCACATTATTGGGATTCTGAAACTGGAGAGAACGATGGCTTTTCTGGGAAAGGCCACACAAACCAGGTTTCTAGGATGGCGGTGGATGAAATGGATCAGTTGGTCACCTGCAGCATGGATGACACTGTGCGCTACACCAACCTTAGCAAGAGGGACTACAGGTTAGTAAAAACATTGTCTCTTTACTCTAGAGTTGTAGCCTTAATTATTTTATAGCAAGAGTTTTGCTGACTTACATGGTAAATAATTTTATACTGCAATTTGTTCAGATTTTAAGTTACCATGGAAACCGTGTAGAAATGATTGCTGTACCAACCTTCTTGTGACAGCAAGAAATGCATCCCAGGCTTCTCAATTTGTCTCATCCCTTCCACAAGTTAGATAGAGATCTGCCTTGTGTCCAGTGGGCTTAGTTAGCAGGACTGTTGGAAGGGTGTCTGCTTTATGATTCCTAATTGTTCAGAAGAGGGGTGGGACACAGCTGTTTCTTTGTGGAAACCACAATGGAAGCAAAAAACTTTTCAGGAATCCTATTAAGATCACCTAGTTAAAAAAATTAGACTCTAATATAGTAACATGAACTTTCTCTGAGGGAGTGCTACCTGATCAAGACACCAATGCTTTAAACAGTAAATGGAAGGAAACTTTGCAGATTATTACATTAAAATAAATTAAATTGTGCAGTTCTTGATCATTAGTGGGTGATTATGTGAACAGGCAATTTTAAATAGTAGTAGGCATAGAATAATTTTTTTTTCCTACCTTGTCCTTCCTGCTTCTACACCTTGGCATGACTTCCTCCAGTGGTCAGGATGCTGTGAAAATGGATGTTCAACCAAAATGTTTAGCTGTGGGTCCTGGTGGTTATACTGTAGTTCTATGCATTGGACAAGTAAGTATCGATGGATTATCAACACAATTGCTCCGTTAATAATGCCATGTATGGTAACATGATGGTTTCTGACAAACCTAGTTAGTGTGGGATCGTCGTCTGCAGAATTTCCTAATAAGAGCTGTGGGGAACATAATTAAGCAGGATACTTGATAGGCTTGTTCTTTTGCATCCTGTGCCAGTTTGACATGGTCCCTCATGTGGATGCATCTAAATTTGTTATCTATATCACTTCGTGTTGGGAGGCTACACTGGTCTAAATCATGCTCTTGCCTGATCTTTTCAGTCATGCAGTTTTGGGGAAAGGAAGTCTTGCTCCTGCATTTTAGTATTTTTTTGCAATTAATCCCACTAACCAATTAACTAATGCTGTTTTTCCATGTGAGTTATAATTCCAGCTGTCTGTAGTATAGAACTGGGTAGCAAATAGCCCTTAAGATTTACCATTGCAGTATTAACTTGCTACTAATTTGGTCCTGTCTCCCTTCCTTTACCAGTGAACTGGGAAGGGAGTGACCGTTGCTAAAAATACTGTTTTGTCAATGTTTCTTTTATGCTCAAACCAAATGAGGGAAAGCTGAAGGCAGTAGAGCATGCCCTGTGCTACCTAGTTTAGAGCACATAAATACTTCAGTACAGTAGATTAATTAGTCACTTCACACACACGTATGGTTTTTTTCATTTTTTTTTTTTAAAGAATGAAACTATTCCCTTCAAATCTGAATGGAGTAAACTTATGAGCAAGCAGAGTGGATTTGTATTTATGACTAAGCAATATGAATTAGTCATCATTTTGTATTAGGCACTTTGAAGAGGGTCTTAGTTTCTGGTTTTCCATTTACAGATTGTCTTGATGAAAAATAAGAAGAAATGTTTTGCAATTGATGACCTTGGCTATGAGCCAGAAGCTGTAGCCATTCACCCTGGAGGAGGTACAGCAGCAGTGGGAGGAGCGGTAAGGTTGCACTTCCTACTACCTTGAACACTGAAACTAGTAACAGAAGTAACAGAAGCATTTCATGGTAGTAGGTGTGTTATGCTGAGAAGTAGTAGGTGGCAGTTTGTAACAGCAGCAATAGTGTAACAAGTAAACCATGGTAATTGATATTCCTCCACTTTCATTCCCCAGGGTCTTCCACCATTGTGAGCTACTGTTTATTTCATTTTTCCATCTTGTATTTGCTGTTTTTAAAACATCACATTGTTTTTACCCAGTGTATGCTTGAAGTAGGCAAATTTTAAAAGTTCAATCTATGTTCTAGACTTGGATTGTGGCCAGCATTAAGTGACAGGCTACAAGATACAATTCATGCAAAAAGTTTCAGAAACTCAGTAAGCCTTTCTCTAATGCAAAGTGATATTTTTACCTTTAACCCTTCTTCACTGTTTATTTGCAGGATGGGAATGTCCGTTTGTATTCAATCCAAGGAACCACGCTGAAAAATGATGATAAGACTTTGGAAGCTAAAGGTCCTGTTACTGACCTGGCGTATTCTCACGATGGTGCCTTTCTTGCAGTCTGCGACGCAAACAAAGTTGTTACTGTCTTTAGTGTCACTGATGGCTATGCGGTAAGAACTGTTCTGTCAGGAGAGGGTTTTCTTGCTTTGTTTAAAAATGCATCGACTCGCATCTCATCTCTAGATCTGTTGTGGTGAAATACAGTGTAGCTGCTGATACTTAATGGTTAAATCGTTGATGTCTATTTGGTGTTTCTGTGACTGGTATTTTGAGTTAGTGTTGCTTTTCGACAGCAGCCAGTGTGAAGCCTCCAGATCATGGCAGTAGGCGAGGACATGTGCAGCATAGGTTGGCTGCTGGGAAAACTCTCAAACCCATCTAATATCAAACACATAGTTAAATAGGGAGGGGGTTGGATTTCCACAGGCTATCAGTAGTTAAAATACAAAAGATTACAAAGTATGCAGGTTCTTTATGCAGGTCAACTGAATCACTAATGGTGTGGGGGTTTTTTAAAGGGAAAAAATAGCTGGGTATGTTCAGTTTGACGAAGAGGAGGCTGAGGGGGGATCTCATCATGCTCTACAATTACTTGAAAGGACATTGTAGAGAGGTTGGTGCTGGTCTCTTCTCACAGGTAATTAGGGACAGAACCAGGGGGAATGGTTGCAAGTTGCAAGAGGGCAAGTTTAGGCTGGACATTAGGAAGAAATTCTTCACAGAAAGAGTGGTCAGACACTGGAATGTAAAGAGTGGTCAGACACCAGAATAGACTGCCTAGGGAGGTGGTTGAGTCGCCATCCCTGGATGTGTTCAAGTGTCATTTAGATGTGGTGTTGGGTGATATGGTTTAGGGGTGAACTTGTAGTGATTCTATGAATAGATGTATGACTGTCAGAGAGTTCACGTGTGTTTTTGTAGAAAGGACAAGGATGCAGGCTCAGTTTGATAAGAATTGTGCAGTACAATAAAGCAGACTTGGCAGTAAAATTTACTGGCTGGTAAGAACTAAGCAGTGAAAAGGATACAATAGGGCAGGGAATCTTGATTTATCATTCAGGCTAGTGTCTTTTAAACAAGAACCAAACAATCGGCAATTTCCAGGTCGCAGCTGAGCAGTGAATATGTGTAAAGTCATTAACCTTTGATTGAAAACACATAGAACTAAAAAATGCAAGATGGTATTCCACAGAAATATTTCAATTTTAAGTAAAAAATTGAAAGAAATTTAGTTTTAGAAATATTTATGGGATTATTTTAAAAGCCTGCAAGCAAGAAGTGACTTGTTGCGTATGCACTTTACAGATCCAGCTTTGTAAGAAACACTAGTGCTTTTTCTATGAAACAGTTTAGATTTTATTGGCCTGATAAGCGTTTAAATAAATAGTATAAAATGAAGCTACCACTTACTTTATTTAGGGCATCCATCTGCAGCTGAGATGTATGTTGTCTGAAGTCTTGCAGTAGCTTACTGTGATGCTACACATGAGACCGTGGTGTTTCCCTGAACTAACTTAAACTAAGGAAATAACACTGTATTCTCTAACTTCCAAATAGGAACATAATGTCTTTTATGGACACCATGCAAAAATTGTTTGTATCGCCTGGTCGCCAGACAATGAACATTTTGCCTCTGGAGGCATGGACATGATGGTGTATGTTTGGACCGTGAGTGATCCAGAGACCAGAGTCAAGATACCAGGTATGTCTTCTTCAAAATCTGACTTCTGCAAGTTGCTAGTAGTTCTTGAAATTCAGCACAGTACCTGTTTTCTAGAACTAATCGTAAGCAGGCTTTAAATATTTCCCAAACTAATTTAGCCATTACATTAATTTCTATGTAGCTACAATAGCCAGAACTTTTCTGTTGGGTGATTTTTGTAGTTGCTTTTAGGCACTACTAGTATTTAATGCAGCTGAGAATCCCATTTGGAATATGTGCTCAGGTTATTTCGTCAGCGTAGCCTTCCTAATTCTCTTATTTCATGCTTCCATACAGATGCTCACAGACTACACCATGTAAGTGGCTTGGCGTGGTTGGATGAACATACTCTGGTAACAACATCCCATGATGCTTCTGTCAAAGAGTGGTCTATCTCCTACAATTGAAATAAGCCCTCACTTTGGAAGGACCTAATCAGGGACTAGAACTACTGCAGTGGAACATAGCATTTCTCTTAAAGAATCTGTATTGGCCTCTGGGTCTGCTGTCATATCCTCATATCTTTACAGGGTGTTCATATCTGTAATTAAATGTACTTTGAAAGCTTTAGCCAGTAACAGTTTGCACATGAAAAGCACTTAAATTATGTCCGGAGCTTAACCTTTGTGCTGAACATTCCAGAGGCAACAGCCAAGCAAGTTGGTGTGAGAAAGAATCAGGTGTGAAAGATTCAAACTCAATCAGTTGTTCTTTTCTAACCAAGAAACAGGAGACTGTACAGCATGAGAGTAATACTTCTCATTTTTTCTAATTACAGAACATTTCTGTACTAACGGTCATAGTAAGAGTATTTAGTTGTGATCTGAAACCAATCAAGCTGTGTGCAGCTACTGTATATTGCTTTGCTTCTCTGTACTGCACCAAACTGTTGCCTCAGACTTTCTCCTCCAGTTAACAAAATGGGGTACATGCATAATAAACTTTTTATGTATTTCATGTCAAAGTTTTGTGGTTTATTTTGAGGTGGAAGTGTGGGATTTTGATGTACTTACTGTTGTGGGTATGATGTTTACAAATAATTGTTGTGGCAACTTCTTGCTTCAGAAACACGTTTGTTAATTTTCATAAATTAAGAATGTTTGGTCATTTCAATGTCAGAGAAAACCATTCTGTTTCAAGGATTAAAGATATTTTCTGTTTGATGGAGGAGAAGCAGCATGTTATTGTTTAAAAAAAAATGCAGTACTTCTGCCACCATTTTGAAAATACAGGAATTAAAGTGAAGATTTGTTATGATTTGAAGTGATTTTTGAGACTATGATGTTTGCCGAGTAAGTTTTATGCCTCTGCATGTGCAGAACAGTTGCATGGAAGCCATTGCCTGATGCAACCAGATAATGATCTTGTGTTTACTTCCCTTCTCACATTCTGCAACACACTTAAGTGATTTGAAGCTAGAAGGCTTACAAGGGTGGAGGAGGACACTCTCATGCAAAGTAGTAAGAAGATTTGTTACCGTCTCTAGTGGCCAAAAGGAGCCGTTGCCATCCAGAACTTTGGATGACTTTTTTATAAAAACCTTTTATCCACTCAGTCTTCATACCCCCACCCCCCTCCAGTGCTCTGTGTGGACCTGTGTGTTGTTTTTTTTACCAATCACATTTCTAATGACACTAATTATACAGCAAATAAAATGCTTTTGCTTTTTCTCTTACTGTGGACCATTGCTCAATTGCTGAAAAAATTGCATGTCAAAGATGACTTGGGGAAACATCTTTTTTTAAAAGAAAAATCGTGGATTTATTTTTAGGAGTGGTGATGAGGTCCTCTGGCACACCAACCATGGTATATGTTAGAACAGTTGACTCAAGTTTTACCTGAAAAGCAGAATAGTTTGTGTCATGGTTTCTTTGTGCTTGCTGCATCTCTCAGTTAGCAATTTTGCATGTCTCTAACAACGCCAAGGATGAGAAGTTTTGGAAAAGGGCATGTTTGAAATCATGAATAAGATCTAAAAGAGCAAGATTTCTCCGGGTCTGGCCCCTAAAACTTGTTCTGCTATTGTTGTGCCAGTCTCTGTGCAATGCATCCATTGTTTCCCAAGTCTGGTCTGAAAGAGTTGCTATTGAATCTGCTCAGTGGGTTCCTGTTGTAGTTGAATCCTTGTCATTTAAGTCACGATAAGGGACAAGGGGGGAACAATGAATTATGCAGATGTATATGGGCAAAGAACAGCATCTGCTGGCAAATCCTGCTTTTTGTAAGAGAGGGGCCGGCCAGTGAGATGTGGGTTTTGAGTGAAACAGCACAATTTCCTAGAAGCTTCCTACCACTACAAGTGGATTCTTTCCTGCCCATCAGAGCTTGAGCACCATGTCTGAAAGGTGATGTGCAGATTCCTGGAAGACCTGGTAATACTGCTCATGCAGAATGCCTGTTAACTAGAAACCCTGTATTAAGACTTGTCTTTGGATGCCTGCCTGTGGGGGTGGTTGCTCGTGCTTCAGCTTCCATTGGATTTGTTTATTGGCATAGGGCCTAAGCTTTTAATTCCTTGAGGACTAATATGGTCTTTGTAGTTGAAGAGCTAATTCTGACTACAAAACTGAAAAGATATCTGTTGGACTAAATGCCATAGCTCAGGCTGGTTGTTGATCTGCCATAGGGAGATCATAAACTCAATCGAAGGAGCCCAGTTGTACTGTTCTAAATCAGGTCCATATGTTACTTTTATTTGCCCCAGGCTGAAAAAGTCTTGTGCTAAACTCGGGAGTCAAGAAATAGCAGTGGGGCAGGAGGACCTAGCTACAGCATGACTCTTGCTTTTTCTAATCTTAGTTACACAAACAGCCCCAAAGTTGGGTTTTCTGTCATGGAGACCTCTACTGAAAAGTAGAAAAGGCCTGCTTAAAATAAAGTAGAAAGGCTGCTTAAAAGGACAAGTGTATCGTGTTTTGATTTTTTTTCTAAAGGGGAAACAAATGCTGAACTCTTACTTGGCTGTATAAAGCAAAAGAGAACAGTTAGACCTTTCTAGGAATAGCTATGTGAAAGCAAAACATGCTGAGTTTCTACTTTCTCCTCAGCAACCTTGTTTGGTCTGAAAGCTGTAGCCTCTCAGCCTCTGCACAGCAGTAGGTCCTGCGATTCACTGTCAGGGTGACCATAGAATGTATGTGTAGGAGTGGAAGCTCTTCTCTCCATTGGACAAACTGATTCTTTCAGCCATCGATTTTTCTTTTCCATTCTCTGTAAGGCCTGTTCTGCCTGTGGTGAGGCAGGGTGTGGAGATGGCAGCTGGTGGCAGGCTGCTCTTGTGGCACGCTGTCAACCTCTTTGCCTGCTCTGGAA